ATCTGAACCTATATTATCAGCATCATCATTCAGTATACCTCCCTCAACGCAATGGTAACCATTAACCACTGCAATGTGCCACCACGGCCGCCGCCGTTTGGAATACGCGCCACGAAATATAGCGCTCGCCCAATCTAATGAATAATTCCCGCTTACTCGGCGCGTGGCCGACAATTCCCTCCTTCGTGGCACTTTTATTTTCTTCCTTGTCCGGCCCTGTGATGTTACTGGTGTTTCTGTCATTCGGGTCCAAATCTCGGTTTCCCGCCGAACCCAACTGAGTGACGGTAGTGAAGAGAACCCCCGGTGAGCGATATCGATGTTCATGGCAGCAGCATGTCTGCCATAGATTCAACCTCGTCTCTTGTTTGCAAGGTGTCATTCTCTTTGAGGGTATCCAATCGTAGCGGTATGATAAACATCGAACTCGGGCCAGAAGACGCTGTGCTTCTCGAGGAATGGGGGGGCATGTCAGAGAGGTCTGGGTCGATCGCAGTAAGATCCTCTGTCGTGCTGTGAAGTTGGATAACCATCAATGCGTATGCATGCCACTCTTGAGTCTTTGCATCCCTTAACGTTTCCTCCGCCATTCGGACGCTTTCCGGCGCCGTAGGAGTTGTTCAAAATCATACCCTATCCAGCCAAGACGTGAACTTGCTCCTTTTTGCAGAGTTGGGAAAACCTCACGTAGTATAGCATGCGATAGTAGCCTAGTAAGGACTGGCGATGGTTAGAGTAGTATCCTTCTCCTTTTTAATGGGTATCCTACGACATATCACTAGACGATGGCTTATGCCAGTATGGTCACCACGATGGGCCACTCTAGTATGTATCACCTCCTCCTCATCATCATCCTTCTCCCTACTACCATCTTATAAGGTACATCATCATGTTCGCCGTACCACATCCCTCAATGCTTTACGTGATCTTACTCGACCTACTATTCACGGTCTCCCTACATCTGTAGTACCCAATAGAAGTAACCAGCAACACTGTCGAACATTGTCGATGTAGTGTTGTCGGTCCCAGAGGCAGTCCAAGGCCGTGATGTTAACGCCTTGTATGTATCCCCTCATCATGCTTCTATGGATAGGAGGACACCTCTTATGGCAGCCCTCTTGGCTACACCTAGGCATAAGGCTAATGCGTGAGAAGGACGACATACTACTACTCAATGTGATAATAAAGTGATTATAGGATAATGAAAGGGACAATGAGGATACCCCTGATGGAGGTTGATACCCTCTATGGGTAGTACATAGTCTAGTCATTATTGGCAACCTTAACCGTTAAGGTATACCTTCCGTAAGTATGGTGGCCCAGCAGGCCCAGTGGAGGATGACGAGGAGGTTCGTCAAGGCCTGGCCAGGTGGCAAGCAGATGCATGTGACCTTGTTATGAATATAGAGGATTTGGATGCTGAGAGGAAGGACCGTAATGGGTGCACTACTATGCATCTAGCTGCTGCTGCAGGCAATAGGATGGTAGTAGTAGTAGCCAGTGTGAAGGCCTATTCATCATGATATCAGGTTGTGGATAAGCTTATTGATGGAGCCAATGAATTGGGTGGCGATATACGTGTTAGATCCCTTTTAGAGGCTATTGATGGGCATGGACGGACCCCAGCGGACCTTGCTTCTACCTGGGGATGGACTGAGATGTTATTCATGAGGGTATGCACCAACATGATGATGACTATGATGCTAGGTGTGAATATCTACACAATCGTATGGGTCATCAACATACCAAGAGTACCCCTATAGAGTACGACTCATCCAAGCTAGTAGTTGAAGATGGTAGAGTACATTGGGAGGAGGGGGACTACCTTACTATGAACAGGCCTGTGATGATGACTATGATGAGTATCTCGGTGATGCAGTAGCGGTATCATTGATAGGTTATCCTTCGATCACTCTTAGCGGACTTTGTGTGGGATGGGGGTTTCAAGT